CTAGCTTCCTTTTGTGTGTGAGAATTGGAGAGAAGGAAAGAGGAGGGTTTAGGAAATAATTGGTGGAGAAAATCTGATTTTTAAACATTTAAAACGCCCCAACTAGGTTCGGACGGCCGTCCCGGTTTTTGTGCAAAATTTCGGACGGCCGTCCGAATTTTTTTCTCCTTACTGGTTTTGGGACGGCCGTCCCACATTTTAGGCATATTTTGGGACGGACGTCCCACAGGCAGTGGTGCAAATTTTTTTTTTTTTTTTTTTTTTTTTTTAATTAATATATTTTTTTTTTTTTTGCGGACGTCCGACTCGACTCTCGATCACGTTTTCGACCCTGAAAAGTAAAATTAAAATTATAAATTAGAATGCATGCTTATGATATTAAAAAAAAAATACGAAAAATTAAAGAAAAATACGAATAACAATAAAGCTCGGGTTGCCTCCCGAGAAGCGCTAAGTTTAAAGTCTTCAGCCATACGTTGCTTCTTTAATTTCAAGCAAAAGTGACCGAAGTCACTTGGCAATCTTCACTCGCTTCCCAATACGGTTTGAGCCGGCTCAGTTTTACGTTGAACGTACGATTTGAATCCCGCTCCTTTATCTTGACCACCTCGTGAGGAAGAATTTCTTGGACAATAAATGGCCGCGACCACTTTGATTTGCGCTTCCTTGGAAATAACCAAAGACGGGATTTGCACAATAACACCAATTGTCCTTTGTGCAATTCCTTTTTGATTTTCTCCTTACGACCACAATAGCTTGACTCATCCTTCTCTCGTGACTTGCTCGAGCTTTTGGGTGGCAACATCTTCCTTGCATTCTCATCGTTGTTAAGACCTCGACTCGCATGACTTTCTCTCGGAGGATTTAAAAGTGAGTCCATGAAATAAACTTGCTCCGTCCGATTCCCGTTTCCGCCATCATCTCCTGCACTCAAAGATGCTTTCCCATTGTCCAAGATCGAAACATCAAATTTTTCATTATTTGTAAAATCCATAAGCTCAATAGCAAAACAATCATTATTATCATATGGATTTTTATTAGCACTAAAAACATTGAATTTTATTGTTTGATCATGCACAGTCATTGTAAGATCACCACTAGCACAATCA